TGTAGGGAGCATGAGGCTGGGTGAAGCACTGCTCGCATTGCAGCCTGTTCCTCAGCTCATCTGGAGACTTCTGTGGTGCCAAAACAGCTGGGTTTTTAAAAAAATTAAAAAAGAAAAGCTGCCCATGGTAGTGCAGTAGTAGCACAGAAGCTGCTGTCCAGCGGGTAGGATTCTTCTGGGGGTGAATGGGGTTTTTTGGCCTCCTCCCTCTCTGCAGCCCCAGGTCTCTGGGTGGTCGGGGCTGGTGATGAAGCAGGCTCGGTCTGACTCAGCCAGGTTTTCTGGTGAACTGAGCTGCAGCTGGAGCCGGCTCTTTACTCAAAGCAAGCACGCAAACCGCCCTCGACAGACGTGTCTTGGAGTGGAAGGGTTTGCCTTGTCAAGCAGAGGCTTTCCGCGCTGTTGAAAAGTCCGTCGATTGTAGCTACAGCTCTGAAAGTGCTTCCGACAGGAGCTGGGGGAGGAGGGACATCCTCATCACTCTTGGATAGCTTAGCATCAAGTTTTGTGTCCTAAAAATAAAAAAAAAACCTGGGTTTTATCAGTTCCATGCCAGACAGGGTAGGAGGCAGATTGTGGTGGGTAGAGCAGCTTATGCACATACCATTTTATTAATATGTAATTACTGCACTGAGACGAGAAGACTGGGAATGTGGTTTGCTTGCTTGCTTTAGTGCTGTTTGTGCTGCACTCAGTTCACTGGGTGAAACCAGGCCATCAATCTTAAATTGTTTACTGCACAGGAAAAAGGCTCCTCCAGGCCAGTTGGCAGCAGCTCTGGACAGCCGTCCCCGCTGTCCTAAACCTCTGTGGAAGTTCTCTGCTTTGGTGTAATAAAAACACTCTTATAGTTCTTGCTATCTTAAGTAGTTAATGAAACAAAGCTGTTGTAACGGCTGCACTGAAACACAGTTCTTCCCATAAATTGACGCAAAGCAAAAACCATTATTCAAGCCAGTCCTGTGGCCTTCAACATCATCGTAAGGCAAGTGTAGTATCTTCTTGCCATCTTAGAAATAATCTCCATCCTTTTCTTTCCGCCCAAAATGCCAGATTGTGTGTAATGTCTTCACGTCAAGGTAACTGGTCACATCAGGAGATTGTATGGACAGAATTCATGGCTGAATGTGTAAGGACGGGAGGCAAGTAGCATCTCTAAGCTTTCCTCAAGAGAGGAGGTTTGTTAAGATCAGCTTGTAGTAGGCATTTTCTCCGGCTTGCTGAAAACGTTCCTACTTGCCCTTCAGTTTTGGTGGGATTGAAAGTGCGCCCGGCTCCGCGAGGAGACGTGGGGAAGCCTCACCTGCTGCAGTAGGCTTTGAGAGGGACTTGGAAGCAGCTTTCGGGCACTGCTGAAATGTAGCCGCTTACTTAGAATGTTTAAGGCCGTTACTGACCTGGTAACATCCCCAGATCTCCCGAGCTGGCATGGTCTGTGCGCTTTGCCCGTGCTCTCTCAGTGGCTGTTTTTAAGGATGCTTAACTCTGGAGACAAGTTTGTCTATACAAGGTGGGGAAATTCTTTCAAAATACTCAAATTTCCCTGTTCCTTACTGCTTTTGTGCCCTTCTTTATTTTCTGTTGCTTTGCAGCCTGAGGCATTAAGTACATTTTCGGTAACTGAAGATGGCGGATACTTTTATTTCTTTTTAGCTCTGGGTATATCATGTGATTTGCATTAACGGGACCATGTCGCAGAAGTTTTCTGAGAATTCCTGGTGTGTGAAGTCCTGGAAACTTCACTCCTGCCCCTGTACTGGGCCAGGAGCAGGGCTGCGAGGAAAAACATAAATCCGTGTGAACTTGTGGGAGGCCTCAGTTCAGAACCGCCTGGCTGTGGTTGGGTGTAACCAGCTTTCCTTACTAAAGGCGGTTGTGGGTGGTATTGGTCAGTGTTGTGTGCAGTCTGGCAGCAGTTTTCCTTTTATTTTTTTTCCCCAAATCCCAATTCCTTAGCTTGATGTGCTCACGTCAGTGTCTCACTGTTCCCTAGTGCTGCACCGATACCGACACATCCTGGGATTATGGCAGCCGGACATCGGGCCCTATGGGGGACTGCTGAACGTGGTGGTGAGTGAGTACCTCATTCTGGGGGCTGTGGTGCTGAGGACCGATGAGCCTTTTCTATCCCACCTTCTAGACCCGCTTGCCATCTCCGTGCTGTGGAGAAGTCTGAACAGTCAACCCTCAAGCAAGTGATTGGGACCCAGAGGGTGCTTTTTGGATCTTTTCATCATCACCACCTTTCTCCAGACAGTCCTTTTGTTTTTCAGCTGTACTCCAAACACAGAAGCACCCAGAAAACATGAGCAATGTTTCAGGGAAAAGCTTGATTTAGAGTTTAATGCTGATATTCCAGTGGCTGGCACAGGAGTCCATTCCTTGTGCATCGAGTACAGCAGAGGTTTCAGCGCTGGCCCCTCGCTTACTGCTTTATCTCAGCCTGCAGCTGAACGTTTTGCAAAGGCTTTTGCGCTGGAGTTCACGCACCTCTCCTTCCTGTAGTTTGCAAAGCTTTTCGCTAGCTGTGTCTAAGGCTGATGCATCAGATGTAGTGATACTGGTGCAAGACCCATGGAGTCTGGCAGCTCTTGTGCTGCTGGGGAGAGCAGTTAATGAACAACTCTTGACTCTGTATTGGTGAGAGCTGGGCCAGAAGTTTGCCTGAAGCCCTTGCTCTTTGCACCAAGGTTCAATAGCTGACAGGTTGAAGCATAACAAATCATGAGGCCTTTGGGTTTTGCAAGCTTCTGTTCCATGAACTGCTATAAGAGTGCATCCAAGTGCACCAATACTGACATGATTTTGTGACCTTATAAAGACAAGTGTGCCTCTGTGGCGCTGCTCTGCTTTTGTCTCGGATCTCTCTGTTTAGAAAATATCCTTTCTCTGGAATTGCAGGGCTTGAGGGGAAGGATTCTGTTAGGCGTGCAGGAAGAGGGCTGGCACTTGTACCTCTCAGCAGAGGAGGTTGTTGCTTCCTGTGCTGTCTGTGAGTAATAGAGCCAAATAATTCCTTGTCCAAAAGGCACGGATAATCCTGAGAAGCAGAATTTGTCTGTTCGAGTGTCTGCCAGCATGAGCTCTCAAACCAATTAGAGTTTGACTAGCCGTGTGGTCTCTTCAGCTCAGTCTCTCCCTCTGGATCCTGCGCACCAAGCGCCCGTCACAAAGTCGTTTGCAGTAATAAAGGCCTGATCGTTTTCCAGTGGTGCAGAAAGCCTTGTAAAGAAACCCTCTCCCTCTTCACCAAGGGTGTGCTGTGAGTGCATATGGTCTGGTTTAATTGCTGGAAAGCAGTTTGGAAATGCAGCAAGCTGTTCTACAGCTCCCGCCCTGTTGCAGAATAGGCCCCGGAGCTGTTTGCTGCAAACTCAACAGAAAGCGTGCAAGGCTGATCTTGCGTGCTTTGTCTCCCGTCTCTCTGCAGGTGGACGGTTTGTTCATCATTGGGTGGATGTACTTGCCACCTCATGACCCTCATGTCGATGATCCCATGAGATTCAAACCTCTCTTCAGGATTCATCTCATGGAGAGGAAATGCGCAACAGTTGAGTGCATGTATGGTCATAAGGGACCTCATAACGGCCATATCCAGGTGAGCTCCTCTAGCGCTTTCGACATCTGTCCTAGGTGCAATGTGCACGCACATTGGCTCTGGAAATGGATTCTTCAAAAAACTGTGAGGATTTTATTTAAGGGATGTGGCTTTCACCACCTTGTTGTATGTGTGGATGCCAGCTTTACGCTCATTATGTGTCTGACAAGTTGTGTGGGCTGTTCCCCGCTCTGAATTTGTTCACTGCCAATAGTACAGCAAGGCTGTTATACTGTCTTCTGTTGGGCTGGAACAGGGTGGGAGGGTGGGAGCACCGGTATGTGTACAGGCTGGGGGAAACGATAGGCAAAATGGCCTTGTGCAGCTGGTGAATGCGTCCAAGCAGACACGCAGACCTGTTCTGTTTTACAGCTCTCTCTGAGCTGAGACCTTGAGAAGGTGATGTAGCATCCATTCAGTACATTGGATGCTTTGAAAGGCTTCCTGAGAGGTTTCCTTTTCTTTGAAGAAGGAAGCTCAAAGAGAGAAGCAACTTAAAACAAGTATCTTTCATTAGAATACAGTGTGGTTTTATTGCTTTTATTTCTCTATTCTGTAGCTGATGCACTTGGTATCACTTAGTGATTTCTCTGTTGTAGCAGATGCAGTAACGCTTGTTGTGTAAAGCATTTAATCTAAGCAGTCGTAGTTACATCATCCTAGGCATCTCTAATCAGGTCTGTAACCTGTTAAATTCTCCTCCGTGGTAACTGCAGATTGTAAAGAAGGATGAGTTCTCCACGAAATGCAACCAGACAGATCACCATCGGATGTCAGGTGGAAGGCAAGAGGTAAGAGTGCTTTGCCATGAGTCTGCATTAAGGCTGCTGCTTGTATGTCCCCTTCCTGAAGATAAAGCCTTGCTGTCTTACCTAAGCTCTTGGCTAGTGTTGGGGTCTGGGAGGTGGTCTTCTGCCTTCTGATTTCTGTATATGTGAACATACATGAAAACCCAGGCTGGTGGCTTCTGGCTGATTTACTACGATCTTTTTGAAGTGAGTAGAATTGATCTGTGACTAGAATCAAAACTTAAAGCGGCCACATTTGAATAATTGCAGGATCTTGGGGAATTTCCTCTGTACTTGCCAAGGTGTGGTTTAAGGATCCAGTATACGGGATCAATTCAGTGTTACGCGTATAGAATGTCTGGGTGGAGACCCCGTGCCTTACCTGAGTGCGGAGCAGGCTGCTATGTCCATCGTGTTGAGCAAAGCGCTGGTTTAGGCAGTTCTGTGTGGCAGGGTGCTCTTTGAGCCCCCGCACCCTTTTTCCTCCTGTGCCGTGACACCGTTACTATTTGATAGCAGGCCTGTCGAAAGAAAGACAGCAACGTGCGTTGTACTCCATGCAGCACTTACCAGACACTGATCTCTGTGGTATTGCTGTCTGTATAATTAAGATCTTTCAGACACAGGCCTAATATTGAGTACCAGTTGCATTTGAATACCTGCTTGTCAGTGGGGCACCTTTCTGCTGCTTGTCATCTTGGTCGAGGGATTAAAAGCTTCATTTGATTATTTATCCCTTGTCTGTGTCAGCTGTACCCAGCAAGGCAGATTCCTGACTCAAACTACATGTTTTAAGGTGCAGGTATAAATGTCAGGATGAAAACCTTCAGCTAATACCTGTTCCAGGTAGCGGTGTTTGCTGCCAGCTTGTTAAACATGACAAATCTGATACTCAGTTGCTTCTAACAAGTGCTTTAAAATTTCTGTCTACTAGTGGGAAACAGCTGGGTAAAAGGTTTAGTTAAGTGTTGTCTGGTTCTGTAGCAGATGAGAAATGCTTTAATACTTTCAAAGCACTGCGTTAAGTGTGCATGGCATTATGGTAATTTGAGGATCTGGCTTTAGAAGATAAAGAAAGCAGGTTTGGAATATCACTTGGTAGGCTGCAATCTTAGTGTAAGCTGTTATCATGCTAACTCGTGGTAGGGTATTAACTTGTCAGAGCTGGTGTGGAGGTATTTAAGGAGATGTTTTCAAAGCGCCCTTTAGATTTAGATGCATCAGTATTAAACCAGCAGGATTTAACCTCCTAAATCTTCAGTGCCTTTCAAACGCTTCCCCTTTTATGGTTAACGTGCCAGGATAGGGCACAGGAGTCAGCTTATGGGCACACAAACGAGTTACTGCGAGGTAAGTCAGGACGTAAAGAAGGAGTAGATCAGCTACTTTGCAATAACAGGTGATGCTTATGCTTTTGTTCTGAGGAGGCATATTGGTTCTACCTGTGATTTCTTTGAAGGGAAGCATGTTTATTGTGTGGAGTCTGGCAAGTACAGGGAAGTTACCGTTATCGCTACTTGTTCAGCGTATTTCCAAGCCAGCTCTGTAGCAACACGTGCTTGTTCCCAAATCCAGCCATGATCCTCTGTCTTTGGCAGAGCCTATGCCTCTCTGTGGCTCTGCCAGTGAATCGTGCTGACGAGACGAAGTCATGTTGGGGTACGTCGCTGTCGCAAATGAAATGCCTTTATCTTCCCTCTTTTCTCCTTGTGCTGCAGGAATTCCGGACGTGGCTGAGGGAAGAATGGGGTCGGACTCTGGAAGACATCTTCCATGAACACATGCAAGAGCTCATCTTGATGAAGTTCATCTACACCAGCCAATATGAGTAAGGGCTCCAGCTCTTTCTGGGTTTTGAGGCTGCTGCAGCTTCAAGAACACATTGAATCATTTGTTCCAAAAATGGGCTGCTTGCAGTGGGCTTTAACAGCCAGAGGAATGTTCCGTCTCTGCAACGATACGGTGAAGCACAGTGCTTTCCAGTTGTACAGAGAGATGAGATGTAACGACAGCAGTAATAATAAAGTTCCAAGTTCTTTACAATAGCTATGCACAGTAAGATAGTTTTGAGTCATTTAACTGTGTTTAATTTGAAGACAGAGCAAATACCTGTGATCCCAAGGAGCTATCTGCTTATTATCCATATTAGTAAGCAGTACGCTCTCTGGTGCGCTAGGCAGGAATCAGACAGTCCCTGAGAACTTGGGGTTTTTTTAACCATCACTCCAGACTTCCAATAGCAGCCACCTCGCTGTAGCAGATGTTTAAATATGCTTCACTCCTGGGTTCTCTGGAAATCCCAGGGAGCGAGGAGGCTTACTGTGACCTTGCTGCAGGAGCCTCCTGGTGTGCTAACAAGGACTGGTAGAGAAAAGTGAAGGGAGGGAGTGCTTGCATAGGTCTAAAGCGAAACGTTAAGCTTGTTGGTATTGCTGAAAACACAGATCCCGCCTCTCTCGACGACATCCCAAAGCTGCCTGGAGGAGCAGATTGCAAAAGCCTTCTTTGTGTCAAGGGATTCTTTCTTAACCTCTCTAACCTTTTGGTTTTTTGCACAGCAACTGCTTGACATACCGACGCATCTACCTCCCTCCTAGCAGCCCTGACGACCTTATAAAGCCAGGTCTCTTCAAGGGAACGTATGGGAGCCATGGGCTGGAGATTGTCATGTTGAGCTTTCATGGAAAGAAAGCAAAGGGGACTAAAATCACCGTAAGTGCATTTTCCTTCCTGTCAGATGCGTGTTAAAGTATTCTCTTCTTGATGCCATGGATCTCTGTCTGGGAGGTAGTCAGTTGTTGCCACCCCAAACCCTGTTCCTCATGGGGATTGGTGGCACTGGGTGAATCTTAACACGTGCAGAATAGCTAGAACCTGCTGTGCAAAGTTTCTCATGGTGCCACCTGGCTCCCCCTTCCTTTTCTCTCCCTTCCAGCTGCTTTCTGTGAGCAGCTGGTAGCAGGTCACTGGAGATCACTCGCATATACCTGAGGAGCAGGTACCAAATTTTTCGGCTTTTCACCAAAGCCAGGCTAGTGAGCTCCTTCCTCTCTGCAGGGAGGGATTCTGACAAAATGCAATTGCAGCTTTGATGTTCTTTCACCCTTGCAAGTACAGCCTGGCTCATAGCTTTTGATTTTAAAATTCTGTTTCTGGGAGGGGGAAAGCAGAGGTGACATAGACAGCTCAGGGAACAAGGTCCGAGGGGTTTTTTTTTGTTGCCAACTTGGTGATTGTAGAATAGGGTGAGCCATGTAGAAGTCAGATGATGGACGTGGGGAGGATACAGGTCTGTAGTGCCCTGTCTCTGCAGCACAGCCATGCTGTGGCTTCCTCTCTCTAGGGAGATCCCAACATCCCAGCTGGGCAGCAGACTGTGGAGATCGACCTGGTGCATCCTCTGCAGCTACCCGACATCGAGAACCTTCGCGATTTCAGTGAGCTCTCTCGCGTTGTCCTGGAGGTCCAGGAGCAGGTGCGTCGGGAGGAGCAGGAGCAGGAACACCGGCAGGAGGAAGAGGACCGCTCCCAGCAGGCTGCCTCCCAGCCTGCTGCAAAGCCCCTGGGAGGAGAAGGTGCCGAGGGGGAAGAGACTGCAGCTGGGGCGGAGGGAACGACCCAGGACAAGGCACCAGCTTCCCAGCCCTTCGTGCTGCCCATGGGAGTCATATCGAGGAATGAAGACTATCCCCGGACCTGCCGAATTTGGTAACGGGGCCTAGTGGTTTGATAGCCTAGTCGTGCCAGTCACTTTTTGAAATGGAAGGGGGGCGAGTCTTTGAGGCGTGTTCTGTATTTGCTTGCCCTTCACCTGCATGCGGATCTCCCAGCCCCTTGTGCTCAGATTTGCTGCCGCTGCTGCCCTGTCTCCCACGCTCTTGTTTGCTCCCTCTCTTTCTTACCACGCTGTCATCTGCCATCCGGCTTTCTTGCTAGATTTTATCCTGTTAATTCTAAAGCTAGCACCTCTCCCGTATTCCACCCCCTGCCTTGTTTTTCTGTGTTTTGTTTCCCAGAGCTGCCCAGCTAGTGTATTTGGAGATCTGTTCAAGTCGCTTCCCATTTCTGTGTGTCCTTTGTGTTCCTTGGCTGTGGGAACACGGTGCTGTCTCCCACCCCTCCCTGGCCTCTGGTACCTTGGGGCCAGCTCTGGAAGGTGCTGAGCACCCTAAGCAGTAGGTACAAGTAGGCAGAGAGCCTTGTTGAATGGGATCTAGAGTCCGTGAAGCAACATACTAAATGAAGTGTGGAAAAAGAGCCCAAAGGCTGAAGCTTAGGCGAGTGACCTTCAGCCAAACATCTGTGCTCATGGAAAAACCTACCGATAGCTGGTTAATCCCAGAAGGCCCCTGCTGTCACAAGCAAGTTGTGTTTGAATAAAACCCTGCTCCGCCTGCTGCTTGCTTGGAGGTTAGGCTGACCTTTACTCCTCCCTGGCTCCAGTTAAATTTTTCTTTTTTTTTTTTTTTTTTTAGTTTTTTCTTTCTCTCCCTTCCCCTGGGTTTTTCCTCTCTGGTCACCCTCTCAACATGCCTTTCCTTTTTTGTGACATTGTCTGGGCCTGGGTTGATCCTTGAGTTGCAGAAGTAAATCTCAGATGGATTACTGGGCTGAAGTACAGAAAAACTCAGGCTTGGTGTGCAGGTGCTAATTAGAATAGCCAAAAGCGGCAACCTCCAAATAGCAATGGAGAGTTTCTTTTCTTAAAATGGTGTCACCAGTGTTTGTGCTGTGTGATAAGAACTGCGTAAAACTCCCTCTTCTGTAGCACCTGGCAGTGTGTTTGACAATGGCTTTATCATAGTTTCGTGTTTGTTTTTTTTATTTTTTTTTATTAAATGTTGGGTAATTATGGCTGTTCTCCCATCTTTTTTGCTATTCTTCTCTCCTTGCAGTTTTTATGGGACGGGGCTTATTGCTGGCCACGGCTTCACCAGCCCTGAGCGAACACCAGGTGTTTTTGTTCTCTTTGATGACGATCGCTTTGGATTCATCTGGCTGGAGCTGAAGTCCTTCAGTCTCTACAGCCGGATCAAGGTCTCCTTCCAGAATGCCGAAGCGCCTTCCCGTGAGGCTTTTGACGAAATGCTGAAAAACATTCAGTCGCTGGCTACTTGACGGGTGATGGGTGATGGACAGGGCTAGGGGTTGCAAAGGCTGCTGCACTCCCCAGCCAGGGCTGGGATGGGGATTCCTCGCTCTCGGTACCTCTGAATAAAAGCATGCACTTTTAATAAAGCCTTTTTACCCCAAATGTACACATCCCGGTTAAAATATCCATGACTGCCCTTTCCTCCCTGCTACCCCACACTGCTCCCCAGCAGTCCTTGTTACCCAGTCTGTAACATAGCTTTGTATAGCTGAAGGGATCCTGCAGAGGAGGAAATAAACCTTTCTTATTGCAAAAAGAATGTATTGGAACAAAAATAACTCCAGGTCAGAGCCGGATCAGAAGAACATATAACTGACTGGATGGACACGAGCCCTCTGCTCTGACCCTTAGCAGTCTCCCGTGGAAAGAGCCCTTCTTCAGGGAAGGGACTCAGTTAAGCCTTTGCTGTGCTCTAGTCCGATCTGTCCTCCTGAGAGACTTGCTTTGCCCTCTTGAAAACCTGTGCGGTCCCCCGCTGCAGACTGGCTGGCTGCTTAACGATAAATTGCCTCAGCGGTGACAAAGCACGTCCTCCTCTCCAGAAACCTTTCTCTGGGTGCAGCATTGTCAAGAGAGGCTGGTGTAATACCTGCGTCCTTGCCTTAGTAATTGGTGTGGGTGGTTTCCTTTTGAGAAATTCCCTCAGCTTGGCAGCAAGGGGAGGATTCCCACTGTAAATGACAGCGTGTGTAGCGTTGCCCTGGCTTCTGGAGCTTAGTGGATGTGCTGTCCCTGGGGCTCCAGGTTCGGATGTCTCCCTGAGCACAGAGGAGATGATTCTCTTTTATTATAGGAGCTGGGTATGGAACTGGAAATGAGTGTAATATGCAGAATCTGGTGTATTCAGAACTGGTTTTGTACCTGAGAGATCACCTCAGATCTTTTAAACTGGGCCTGAAAATGTAAAGGAAGGAGAAAAAAGAAAACTAACCGTGAAATAAACCCAAATGCAGCCTACTGACTCCTGTCTGTGCTGGGCAGCAGAAGGTGCCATGTGTCGCTGGTACTGACGTGAGCCCAGTTATGTGTCCTTCTTGTATCGGGGTGTCCTGCGCAGTCTGAAGGAGCGATGAGGGATTCTCCTAATATTGCTGTGGCTTTTTCTGGCGCCTTTTAGGGCTGGCGCTGACAGGTGGGTGCTGCTGCTCCGCTCACAGGACCCTTCTGTTCCCTTTCTAGTCGCACTTGTTTCATCCCAGATGATTGCTGCTTCCACAGAAAGCTCCTGAGCTTAATTTCTTTCCACGATACCTGTGTTCTGGCAGATCTGAGCTCCACTGGGAAGTGTGGGCTGCCGGCGAGGAAGCAGATTCCCTATAGACTGTTCTATGCAGGAAAATCCTGGCCAGTGCTGATCTACAGACTGTGAGTTGTGCTATAAACCATCAGCATTTGCATTGTGTTATTAATCTGGTGTAGGAAGAGATGATAAGGACCCTTGTGCGGGGAGAAGAGAGCTGTTTGTAAGAAGGCTTTTGGTTACAGGCAAAATACATCCTTTTTTACAGTTGCGCTCTGGCTATGGTGATGAAGTCCAGGCGGCTTCTCTTCCCGCTACCAGCCGGATCAGTGTCTAACAAAACTCTGCCTTTACAGCTTATTCGGGTTTTGGTTTGTCACTGTGTCCCTACA